CTCAGAGGCCTGGCCCCAGCAACTTCACCCCATTCCCACCTCCTGGAGCCCCAGTGCCCCTGAAGGTGATGCAGGCCAACCTCTCACGTTCTTGGAAACGTCTGGAGAGAGGTCGCAGGTCTCCTGTCCCTTAACAAGATGTGAGGTGGTCCATTAGCCAAGCGACAGGTTGCATGAGGTAGTGGAAAGAAACAGCCCTGGCCCTCGGTGTCCTAGGCTGGGTCCTGCCACTAAATGGCTGTGTGACCCTGAGCAAGCCACGTCCCCTCTCTGGATTTCCCTAGCTGTGAAATAAAGGGGTTAGAGCAGAAGGTCTGCAGAGAGCCCTCACGGAGTAGAACCGTGACCCACGGCGTGAGACGTCAGTCCTCCACAATACCCAGCTATAACGTGAGAAACAAATATACTTAATGTGAATATAATTAGCAGCCAGTGCTATGCTCAGTAGAAATGTCTGCCACGAGCCGTGCAGTCAAACGTGCGGACACGCTTCTCTCTTTCTCAAAGAAAGTTTGTTAGGAGCAGGTAATTATGACGATACGCTCTTGGCCTCTGCTGTTTTTATTGCTAGTAGGAAAGGACACTTTGCTGGGACGCCTCCCCTTTGAGGACAGTGGCGAGGGCTGTGTTGGGGCGAAGGCCTGTGCCGGGGGCGCGGGGAGGCCCTGGGAAAGGCAGGGCTGTTACCTCAGAGTTGGCCAAGGCCCGACACACGTGTTTGCAGCCGGAGGGAGGCGCACGCTGACCTTGGGTGGCCTACCCGTTTCCCTTCCCAACCTGGGGCCGGGCTGTGAGGGGGTCTTGCAAGAGGACAGAGTTTGGGAAGGAGGAGCCGGGCGGGGAAGGGGTGCTCCCTGTCCCTTGGCGGGAGAGGAAGCCGGGATTAATTCTGGCTGGGATCCCAGGCCCGAGAGAGGAGCTGAGTCACGGCAGAGGGCGGAGTGCAGAGTGGACGGGAGACCCTGAGCTGTTCCGTCAGACGAGAGATGGCTCCGGGTGGCCCCTGCGTGGGGGACAAAGGGAGGGGACAGAGCACGTGGGTCCGTTTAGGGCTGGATCGGGGCAGCTAGAGACCCTCATATCAAGGAGCCCGGTTTCTGGGCAGCTGAGGGGAGGCGGATCGCCAAGGCCCCCTGGTGCCGAGGCTCCTAAGGCTGCACCTTCCCAGGCTGGGGCTGGAATGCGGCGGGACTAGAACTCCTAGGCCCTCCCACTTCCTTTGCCGAGCTTGGGGTGCGGCTCCCACCCCCTCTTGCCATCATCAAGGTTGATAATCCGGATAGAGGGTTAATGCATCCCAAAGAAGGAACTCCTGAGTCAGCTTCTTGTGGGGATCCCCAAAATGTCCCTACTCCGGCCGGCGCCTCCCTCTCTCTCCCCTCGGGACAGTCTGCCTCTTCCTAGGCTGTGACCCAGGCCCCTCCTTCTTTTGGTCTGTCCCCAGGCCTCAGCGCTTCATTGTTGCACGGAAGTCAAGAGTGACTTCTTGAGAGTCAGGCCAAGAAGAAGGAAAGCGGAGTTGGCAGGGACCGTAAGAGAGCAGTTGGTCAGGACCCGGGGCCCAGCTCCTAGCCGTAGGCTCCTCCTGCCTGCGAACAACGCCACGTTGATACACCCGGCAGCTGTGACTCAGGCCTGGCCCCCTGCCAGCCCCAGCGCCTCTGCCGGAGTTGAGTCTGAACATGTCCACAGGCCTCCCGTCCCCTTCTCGGCCCCGGCCCCTCTCCTCCAGCCCTCCCTCTGCCTACAGTTGCCACCTGGCTTTGTCTAGGGGGAGGACAGCTGGGGCCGAGCGCCCCTGGACGGGGATCTGAGGGCCCCGGACCCCAGGCGTGTGCGGCAGGTGGAAGCAGGGCCAGGCCCGTGTGGGGAGGTCGGGGTGGGGTCCACCCCGAGGGGCCTACCTGCGCTTTCCAGCTGTAAGACCCTCAGAACGTCAGCGGGTGGGACTCGAAGAAAGCTGTTCCCCCTCAGTTCCTCTCTTGAAGGTCTCTTTTCCAGACGGGGCTGGTGCCTGGAGCGCCAGATGTCCCCGCCTTCCCACATCCTGCCCTTACCAGAAGGTGTTGGCAGACCCACAGACCAGCCAAGAGACCAAGCAGTGGTTCCCTTTCGGGGTGGGGGGCGTCCAACCCGCTTCACCCCCAGCTGTGGGAGTGTGTGCGTTTGGGCCGCATCACTCTTGGACTGGGAGCCGGAGGTCGAGGCCTCTCCCAGGCTGTCTTCCTGGGTGCCTGGGTGCCACCCTCCCCGCACCTCCCCTCCCCCCACCCTGCCGTGCACCCTGCCATTCTCAGTGCTCTGTCCCTGTCTGCCGTGAGTGTCCTCAGGTGACCCGGCGGGCAGGTTTTCAGTGCCTGAGCCTTTTCCTGTCTAGGCCTTGGTTTCCCCACCAGTAAAGGTGCAGAGGCTGGCCCGGGAGGAGGCCCCCTGGAAGCCAGGATTGTGTGGACTCCTAGCCCCCAGGCATTCCAGGCACAGACTGGAAAAGCCCCAGACATTAGTGGACAGATAATAAACTGGCAGATGAAAACAACAGCTGAGCACATGTCAGGGGTGGGGACAAGAGCTGCAGGGCTGAGGGCCCCGCGGCCCAGGGAGGTGGAGGCAGATAGATTGCAGGGGGAGGAGCTGCAGGAACAAAGGGAAGGGTGGCCAACAGGAGCCGCCCCTCACTGGCAGGAAGTAGGCTTGGGCCGAGTTCTGCCGTCCAGGGAAAAGAGGGGACAGTCCTGGCGCTGGTGCC